ATTTAAGCGCTGCTTCCAGGCTTTTAACACTTCTGATTTTGATCGGTCCTCAGTATCAGCAAAAGAAAATACTTAACTCTGGTAATGTATTTTGAAAAGAATAAACCAAATCCATGGATCGAAAGTATAGGTTAGTAACAGAACCTAATTCGAGACAATCAGCTCTTCTTGTAATTTTTGATAAGCCGATGTAGTAAGTCAGTTGATCTGAAAGAAAGTGATCTATCTGCATTTATACATTTTTAACAGTTTGGTCAGATACATGTTTGTCAAGACATCTATCCATAAATTTGTGCTGATGATGTTGTATTCAGGCGAACAGTGATAGTTACATAAGAAAACTATCCAGCACACAGGCTAAAACTCCACCATAATCATTCACCTGAGTTATAAATTTTCTTTCTACCATCTCAAAATCATGTGTATCGTCTTAACAAATGTTTAGACAAGCATTTATTTGACCAGCTGGTTCATAATTCATTAAATGTTTGTCCAGATGTAATATAATAAAACTAAAGATTTGTAGAATGTTTCCAAAGCTTCGGAGACGAAACCAGCCTATAGCATTTATAGGATTTCAGACAAAGATTACGACTTTTTATCAAGGTTTATGAAAATCATTGTTTTTACACATTGAAACCATGAATTAATCATTGTTTAACCATCATTAGCAAACTGGAAGCACTGAACTACCGTTTCGTCCTGGTATAGGACTCTTCAGTAGTGCGCTGCCACTCGCAGGATTGTGACCCAGGACCGTCAGTCTTGTGCGCTAACGCCTAACTTCTGAACCACTGGGGTGGCATCCAACGGGTTAATGTTTAACTCTAATCAATTTAAGGACTTTGTGCAACTTCACCCACTTGTCTTCGGTCGTTACCGTCTACACCTGACAGGCTTAAATACCACTGGTAACGTCTTCTCATTAGAACTCTGAGAATTTCCTCACGAAGCTAGTGACTATCGGGAATATTGCGTCATTTTTTATTTTGAGTTCTTTTTACAAACTGAGATCATGAATCGATCGCTTGTAGACCACCAGAAATTAAGCGTTTGCGCGCAAGACAAACGGCTCTTTGTTTGAGTACTGTGAGTAGCAGGAGTCGTGGATGCACACTGCTGATCAGTCCCATACCAGGACGAAACGGCGGTTCAGTGCTACCAGCTTCCTAATGGTGGTCTAACAATAACCGATTCATGATTTTAGCAATATATATATATATATATATATATATATATATATATATATATATATATAATTACATCATATTCTGTAGTTTATAAAAGTTTTGAATACATCCTTTTCATTAGCTTATTGAATTCGGCATGTTACGTGGAGCAGATAACATTGTTAAGAATAAAACTACATTTTCTTCTATGCAGTATCAATTAGGTGTGTACATTGTACTTAGAGATGCATTTTCAAGACAAACATTGAGTACAAAACAAAATACATGCCATAAAGCGCACTGTAAATTAGATCTATCTAATTCACTATTAACTATGGACGACTTGGAAATCATAACATAGATTCCTACTTAGCAATCTATCAATGGAAACATTGAATTCGTTCAATGTACAATTCAACTGAATAACATGTAAATCAGTAAATAAATAAAAATGCAATTATTAACTTAGGCAGCTCATCTATTTACGTATGATCAGGTCAATAAAAAATTGAATAAAACTACAGGAATTTCTAAAATATAAAAAGATGCCATCCTAAAGACTGTCCGTCATGAGGTTGCTGTGTCTGCATTTCTGTCAATAAATTGTATGAGTAGTAGTGTGGTGCTGTGGTGCGAACTACTTATAAGTAGTATATAACGTGAGTGTCAACGTAAAGTCTGGTAGCATAATATGGGGGGAAGATCAAGAAAGGAAGAGTTAGAAAACAATGGGATTTGTATGAAACGCATGAATAGTGACAATGGATTGATGTTTGGCAACAGGAACAATCCAGTTCCATAGGATGAACTGATCTTTTGCAAATGAACGATTTACGATATGGTTTTCCGATTTTACTGAGTAACTCTGTAATTTTCGTTAAATACAATTAGGTTGCCCCACCTGTGTTCTCATACACTACAGTAGTAGTAGTAGTAGCAACAGGAATGGTAGTTGAAGAGATCAGGGATTGGAGATATGATTCCAGCAGCATTATTCAATATAAGTACATTTTTTAACAAGAGAAGAAAGGCCTTAAGGAATCAGGAAGATTAGAAAATGAGAAAAGTCACGGAACTGATGCACCTGCGCCACTGCGCCGATTATGAGGCATGTCATTTGGATTCCCCAAGCAATGGTTGTGATTATCTCGCGGACCATAACCGTTGGGGATGTTAGGTCCCCAGAACTTGCTTGATAAATACCTTTCTTGGAATTCGCGTTTGCGAGCATGTGCTGATCAGTTGACCTTGAGATTTCATCACCCACCAGGAAAATCCATGGCTGTCATAGGCTGCTGTGTATTTTAGTGTGCTATTTTTCTGACTGTCCGAAGGACGTTTCTATGATGTATAAATAAGAGAGAGTTGTGTGCTTGATTGTATTGTGATTGTTGGGTGTTGTAGAATATACCTTCTACGCTTACCAAGTCTTCGGTTTTGCAGTTTGGGATTCAAGGTAGCCTGCTTGGAAGCTGGTAATTGTCTCGTTCGCGTTTATCGACTAAGGTGAACTCGTAATAGCTTCAAGCTTACCACGTGACGAACTTAACAATAACCAATACTTATCAACATGACTCTGTTCTATTTCCAGTAACTTCATGGTTATGTGCCAGCTATGAGACTGTATTCATGTTTTGCGATTAAGATAAATAATAATGTACAGATGACACAAGCCCTAATTATTTTATTATAAATCTTACATGTGAGAAGCCTGAGGCAGGTGAGGAAGACTGTATTATGCGAATTTAAACTCTGAGTCAATTAAAAACGAAAACATTATATTGAATACTCTATTTGCACACCATCTTTGAGTCGTGAATTCCAACGCTCCATCCTTCTTCCATTCCTGCTGTTGCTTCCTTTACTTCCTGTTGGTACTCCATCTTTTTCTTGCTTTTGCTCCATTTGCTTTCCGTTTTCTTCTTCTGACCGTGAGACTTCTTCTTTCACGTCCCTTCTTATACTACTTATATCGTTCGTATAAGTAGCACACATCACACATGTCAGTATTTGTTTTTTTCTAAAACAAAAATGATCAAGAATGCTAAAACAATTTCTTTCTCTTTTTCATTTCATTAGATTGGATTTTGTGATTTATCAACTGATTATAAAATGAATCCATTACTAGCAAAATTGACAAATCATTCATATAAATTTACACGTTTAGACAATAGAAAATTGGACATGAGTATACGTGCACATAATGCAGCTGTTAGCAAGTAAGCACTGTGTGTTGTAAAAGAAAGACTTACTTTGCTTTGATTTTTTATTTTAAATATGATGGTTTCCAATTTGACAATTTAACTATTGACTAGTGTTTTTTAGTCTTAGTTCAAGTTATGAACTGTGCGAAATTGGAACATTAATCGCGCTCAGTACCGAAGGTCCCGGGTTCGAATCCTGCGAGGTACAGGAGTCGTGGATGCGCACTGCCACTGATGAGTCCAATACCAGGACGAAACGGCCGTCTTCGGGTGCTTCCAGGTTTCTAATGGTGGTCTAACAATGATTGATTGATGATTTCAGTTGTGTAAAAACACAAACCTTCAAAACTCTGCCCCAAAACATTTAAAATCCGCATAGCCAGTGATCTAAAAACAATGTAGCGTCTGGTTTGAATGTGTGTTTTTACTGTTCACTACACAAAGAATTAGTATAGAGTTCAAGTTAAATTTTTGTAAAGTAATAGCTAATTACAAGTTGATAGTAGGAAGATGATAGGTGTACTGATAGTAGTAACCAAAATAAAATACGATAACAAACGTTTTATAAATAGTAGGTCAAACCTCGTGGATAACTAGACTTAAAATAATCATTACCAAAACATTTAAAACCATTACGTAATAAGAAGTGTGTACATAATTACATAGTGAAGAAGAATATAAACGCAAAGACGCAGAAAATTACCAACAGATACAGGATGTGAAAATAATGCTAATAATAACAAAATAAAATTCAGAAAAAATTTAAACGTTAGCCACAGAAGAGACAAGGGTGTCATGAAATTCTTCTGAACACATAAATTGAGGTTGAATGGACGAATTCTTATGGCTTCTGCTATGTGTGTAGGAGACGGGATCGAACTCCGTTGGGAAATTATGGAGGTCTACGATAGATCACTCGAAAAGATCTAGCTAATTGTTTTATTAAACCATATTGTAAGTTATAAGTGCCCTTGTAAACGCTAAACTGAATCTCAATAATCAATAATAATAACCCTTTCTTCGTTTAAAACAAAACTGTTATGGTCTTATTATATTTACTCTTTCAAAAAAAACCCTTCAATTTATTTTACATGGCTTAAATAGGCTATTCACTTGTGAAATACTAATCAAATTTTCTGTCATATAAATCAAACTACCTAAATGCAAGCGAAAAATATTAGGATTTTCATTAATCCTGTCGGATGTAGGCAGTCACACATCATCTTCGATAGGTGAGGTTGCGCAATACTTTGGATCGATCAAAGTTAAACATCGACACCGTTGGATACCGGCTCCATGGTCTAGAGATTATGCGTTCGCCCGCAAGACCGAAGGTCCTGGGTTCAATTCTGATGAGCGAGGATAGTAGATGCGGACTGTTTATAAGTCTCATATCAGGACGAAACAAATGTGTCTTTTAGTGCTTCCAGGTGGTCTAACACTGATCGATTCATCATTGAAACGAACAAATATTGTAAGTAATAAGGAGGAATTAGGGAAAAACAACAAATTAAAAGGATTTCTACTACTATCTATAACATTTCCTATGATGAATAAACAAACAAAAGTCTCAAAAGTTTTTTTCGTCAACACAAATTAATAGCGTTGTTGACTAGAAACCTTTGTAGAATTTTTTGTGTAAGAAATGAGATGAAGTAATCTCTATTGTGAAGAAAAATTGAAAGTATTCAGTGAATCACTACTCTATCTTGTAAGTCGTTTTATCAGCCTACCATATGATCATTGTCGACTGCACATAAAGAATCCACCACTGTATTGATTTCGTCTTTGCCTCATCTGCACAAAAACTTGATTGATGGTAAGCTCCAGGGTACAACTTATATTAGAAGAAAGCACTATGAACATTTGATTGAAATCAATGCTTTTCATTCGTATATGTTGCTCAAAATGAAGATTTAGACATGTCACTAACAATGAACTATTGAATTCCAAACTCGATAATCGAAATGTACATTCCTTGTTTTATATTTCATTTCACGTGCGATTATAGATAAGTGCTGTTGGTAGTTTTACCCTGAAATCATGCGTCGATCATTGTTAGACAAACATTGGAAATCTGGAAGCACTGGATAGGTGATTTGTCCTATTATGGGACTGATCTGCAGTGCACATCCACGACTCCTGCTACTCTCAGGATTCCAAACTAGAACTTTCGATCTTGAGGGCAAACGTTTAATCTCTGGACCATTGCAGCTGGTGCCTAACAATGTTAACATCTAACTCTGATTTTACAGGACCTCAACCATTTACTTTCGGTTGTTACTGCTTACATACAACAGGGTCGAACTCTACTGGTCACAATTTCTGACTAAAACTCCGAGAACTTCTTCAGGAAGCTAGTTACTAGTGAGCACACTTTTTGATCCTGACTTAGAATATTCTAGAGATGATAGTTTCATCTTGAAATAATGATATATATATATATATATATATATATATATATATATATATCTGTAAATTGACTTGTAGCAAAGCAAGGAAAATGATTTGAACATGAAAAGGTAAAAATTTACAATTATTTATTAAGTCCTCATCTCAACTCCTGGGGTTCAAATGTAATGTAATTTTTTGATGAAAGGTTATCTCAAACACACATATATGAATATTGTATATCAACTTCATCAAAAAACCTCAACCGAAACCATCATCAGAAGCGAAATCAAGCACAGAAACAAATAAACGCATCATCCTACCATAAATCAAAGACATATCGCAGCATAATGCACGACTACTGAAACCATAAGGAATAGGCGTAGCACACAAACCAATAGAATCACTTCAATCAATCGTATATAGACCAAAGGACAAAATGACAAAGGAAGAAAAACCAAATATCATCTACAAAATAAACAACTGCTCAGACTGTGAGAAAAAACACTACATAGGACAAAGTGGACGACCTCTTCAGCTCCGTTTACGTGAACATCAATTAGCAGTCAAACGCCACGACAACGCTTCGCTTATATCAATACATACCGACAATTATGGGCAGACATTCGATTGGAACAATGAGGAAATACTGGATAGAGGGAGGACAAAGAGCACTAGAGAATTTTTAGAAGCTTGGCACTTAGGCCAATCAACAATCAACAAACGCATCGACAATGACTCAATTTATCAATCAATCAGAAAAATCATAGGTGACATAGGATCAAGAAACAGATCAAAAGGGGGGTGAAATCAAAACAAAGGTGTGAACAACGGCAGACTTAAGGTCAACAGCAACCAATCAAGATCGAGGTTAACAGAACGAGCTACGGGTCAGACGTGGAGAAATTTGAATGCTTCACTTCTATCTGAAGTTTGTGCTGATGATGATGTTGTTCAGTAGAAGAACAATGAAAGCTCCACAACCAAAACAACCAACTCAGGGAACGAAGCACCACCACAATCAAAGACCCCCTAATTAACGCTTCATTTTCATTCTAGCTTTTAAGATCTCTTTGAGAAAAAAAACCAAATTCTCACATTGTAAAATAAATAAAATGTTGCTAATAGTAGAATTGACGATGCGTTTTCGTCTTAATTCACTCTCATTAACCAAATATACTTTTCACCTCGGAGTTGATAATGTGCACTCCTAGATCCGAACTCAATGCTGTTTGCTTTAAATCACCATTACGGCTCTCCACACAAGATACACATATATATTCATATATCAACCGAGACTGATCAAAATTCAGTCAAAATATCAGCCAGCAGCATTAATCAAGCCATTAGGCGTGAACGCCTAACCTCTGGACCACTGAGCCAGTATCTGACGGTGTTAATACCTAACTTCAATCAATTCACGGAGTTGCACAACCTCATACATTGTCTTCGGTAGTTAATGTCTAAACCCAAACAAGTTGAACTTCACTGATCACGACTTCCCACTGGAACTCGGAGATACCGGCCCAATGTTCCAGAGGTTAGGCGTTCATGTGTAAGACCGAATGTCCAGGGTTTGAATCCTGCATGGTGCAGGAGTCATGGATGCACACTGCTGAATCAATTCCATAACAGGACGAAACGGCCGTCCAGTGCTTCCAGGCTTCTAATGATGGCTTAACATTGGTAGATTCATGATTTCAAATCTATATTTAACTTTCTATTCATTACAAACTAAAATAACACCGTTGTTTTTGCTATTTAGATTAGCTATACATTCAAAGAAATCATGGTTATGTTCAATCGGGGATGATAAATCATGGAAATTATGGAAAATTCCAAAATTAGATTTATTAATAGAATATAAACTAACCACATCGGATTGGATATCATCAATTGATTTTCATCCACATGATGAATTATTAGCTACAGGTTATGCTAAAGGTTTTATTCAAGTAAGCTAGCTCTATTTGTTCAATAGTCAATAAATTGTTTTTTTCTATTGAAAATGAATTAATGATTACCATTAAAGGGTTGTGATGAGCTTCATTGAGTGCATGATCAACATTAATCACTGTACGGCCATTTTACTGCCAGTATGGGATTCAACAGCGATGCACGGCTATGGACTCGCAAGCGAGAATTAAACCCAGGATATTCGATCTCGTGTTTGAATGCTCAAACTTCTAACTACTGAAATGGCATCCGATGGTGTTAAGGTCTGATGCCTAAAGACAGGGGACTATAGTTAGACGTTAGTACAAATGGAAGCCGACTCAATAGTTAGCAGTTTGAGCGTTCACACTCGAGATCGCATTTCCTGGGTTTGATTCCCGCTTTCGGAGTCTGTTGAGTCCGGCAGTAGGATGAAACGTCTGTCTGCTGATTCGGTGTTTTTAACGATAATCTAACAGTCACCGATTCTTGAATTTATGGAAACTCAGAAATATTCACAACCTTATATTCTTGTCATGATCAACTTGAAAGAAAACTGAAATATCCGTTAATATTATATTTTCCAAGCTGAACGATTAAACTGCGAGCAATATAAATAAATGTGTCACATCAAGTGAATGGGATCAACGTGGTTATTCTCTCTACTTACTTACCTACTGAGTAGCAAATATTAACAGTTTAACAACACACAAAATGATCGTTAACTGTATGTAGATAACTCTGGAAAAAAGAATTTGACAGCAAAAAATTCAAAATGTTAAACGAATGTAAATCATTGAATGTCATTAAATCTCTAAAAAACTATCTTCCCAGATTTATCGATATAAATCAAATTTTATTATCTGACAAGAATGCCTCACTGATGAGTAAGGCGGATCTGATACAGATATGAGGGCGCGGATTGGCAAAATAAGGGTAGCAATTTCTACAATTGAACAAAACAAGTAATCACAAACAGCAAACTCACAGCTGTCAATAAAAATGTCAAGACAGTTCTAGTGTATGGGGTAGAAACTTGGAGAACTAGCGAAGGTCATCTTCCGTCAGATATAAGTGTTTATTAAAAGCTTTCTACCAAAAATACTTCGTATACGTTGGACAGAAGACGTCAACAATAACCTACTGTGGGAGAGAACAAACCAGACTCCAGCTGAGGAAGAAATTAAGCGAAAGCTCATGAGGTGGATAGGATATACACTGAGCAGAGTACCAAACGGCTCCACAAGACAAGCCCTCACTTAGAACCCTCAAGGCCAGAGTAAAAATGTATGAACCAAGAACACGTTACACCAAGAATCGGAAGCAGACAGGAGGAGAATTAACAAAAATTGGACAGAACTGCAAACGAAGGCCCAGGACAGAGTAGGCTGGAGAATGCTGGTCAGTGGCCTATGATCTATTAGAGGTAACAGGCTTAAGGAAAGTAAGTATGCTAACAAGAACCAGATCAGTCAGTTACATGGATTGAAGTCGACATACAACAACAATCCTTTAAATTGATACATACAAACAGAGATAAAGCAAGTCACTTAATACACGTTAACGTAGTGAGCCAGTCAGAAGTGGCTTAGCAAAACAAACCATTTGATGGCCATTAGAAATGTCTGAAAGGACTAATACATATCCATTGGTCAAGAACTAGATTCATTGTGTAAGGAAATGGAATACGAACAAGTATTTACACATAGGATTCAGTAAACAAATAGATTTTCTACTCTGCTCTTGCTTTCTTGTTCAATTAGTCAGTTTGTTATAGGGCGATTTAGCACATATCATGTTCAGACCCTTGACACAGCACATCATAACACAATTAAATGGACTTTTCCTTCATGAATTGTCATTGTAGCCGAATATACAACTGTCTTACAGTTCCTCAACGCAAATAAAGAAGTTTGTATCTTAAATTCATTATGTTGAAACGCTTATTTTACTGAAATAAAAATCCCTATAGACTTCAAAAAATGATTATGAGTACAATTAGTGATAAACAAAATGATTTCTGAAACACACTCACACGAAATAAGAAAATCGAACTGTCATTCATTTATCAATGTTATTGAAATATGTTTAAAACGAGAAACTACTGAATTATTTGAAAGTTACTACTAGCCACAGTTCTTATCGGTCATCATATGTGATGGATTTATAATATTCAGTGCTACTGAGTACATCGTGGGACAACCGAGTAAGCAATGCTGTCGTTAGGAAACAAGTACTAGGTAAGGATGGCAGATCAATAGATGAAGTGGTGAAACTTCATCAGTTGAGGTGATGGGGTATGTGTTACGAATGCCTAACCACCGACTGCCTTGACGAGCTATATTTTGTAGTGTAGGAGTAGGTTGGAAGAAAGCTAGGGGCGGGCAGACCAAAACATGACACAAATCCATGAAATCACTGACAAGTGGACTGAGTCATGTTGGTAGATGTAGGCTACGTGGTTGGGGTCCGCGAGACGATAGTCACAAATGGTTAGAGACCTTGAATGACATGGCTCAAAATCGTTTGCAATGGCACCGGTGCATTTATTCTTTGTGTTCTCTCAAATGCTAATCTTCTGGATTCGTCAGCACTTTCTCTACCTTTGTCTTTCTAAACTTATCTCACTGAATTATACTTCTTGAATAATATCTTCAAATCCTAGTCTTCTTCATTACCATTAATACCTCTACTATCTTTATCACTATGGGATTTGGTTTGACATTTGTGTCTCTGTGCTAATGTGGTATTGCAACACGAACTTATGTACATACATACGAAGTTCTACGTTGCAACTGACAACCATGAAATAATCAACCTGTTCACTATACATAACTATATACTTATGTAAAATTCTATTTCAGATATGGAAAATTGATCTGAACAATGATAAATCATCACAACAGAATCATTCTAAACGAATCGGTGTACTACGTCAACATACTGGAGCTGTATGGTCTATGAATTGGCATTGGACTGGTGCATATTTAGCTAGTTGTGGTATGGATAATACAATACGTCTATGGAATATTGACCATGCATTGATGTCATATAAAATGAATAAAGATTTATTAAACACACAATCTACAACAACATCATGTTGTACAATACTTAGGGGGCATAGTAAATCAGTGAATTCTATTCAGTTTCTACCGTATGGAAATATTCTGGTGACTGGTTCATCAGATAAAACTGTATGTTTATGGGATGGTCGTTCGGTAAGTAGTCATATTGTTTCAGGCAACAAAGTTTGGAACATTCAACATTCAGTTTTTTTGCGGTACTTATGAAAATATGCAATACAGAGAAACAGTGAAATCCCTTGTTGTACATGTAGTTCAAAATCCACATTTCAAGTAGACTAAACACGCTGTTTTATTTTGTAGAATTAGATTGTGGTGGTGGTGTTTTGCTCTCTGAGCTGAATGTTGTTTGGTTGTGGAGCTTTCATTGTTCTTCGTCTGAACAACATCATCAGCACAAACTTCAGATAGAAGTGAAGCATTCGAATTTCTCCACGTTTCATCTGTAGCTTGTTCTACTAACCTCGATCTTGATTGGTTGCTGTTGACTCTAAACCTGTCGTTGTTTGCAACTTTGTTTTGATTGCACCCCCCTTTTGATCTGTTTCTTGATCCTATGTCACCAATGATTTTCCTGATTGGTTGATAAATTGAGTCAATGTCGATGTGTTTGATGGTTGCTGATTGACCTGAGTGCCAAGCTTCTAAAAATTCTCTAGTGCTCTTTGTCCTCCCTCTATCCAGTATTTCCTCATTGTTCCAATCGAATGTCTGCCCATAATTGTCGGTATGTATTGATATAAGCGAAGCGTTGTCGTGGCGTTTGACTGCTAATTGATGTTCACGTAAACGGAGCTGAAGAGGTCGTCCACTTTGTCCTATGTAGTGTTTTTTCTCACAGTCTGAGCAGTTGTTTATTTTGTAGATGATATTTGGTTTTTCTTCCTTTGTCATTTTGTCCTTTGGTCTATATACGATTGATTGAAGTGATTCTATTGGTTTGTGTGTCACATCTATTCCAAATCGTCTCAGTAGTCGTGCTGTATGCTCCGATATGTCTTTTATGTATGGTAGGATGAATTAGAAGAAAGTAATTGGACACTGATCTATTTGTACTAGTATTCAATAGTAGGTTGTATTTTCAATCTGATCGCCATGTCACATGTTAAGTAATGTTTTAAACACCAACTTACTTGTAATTCGAAAATCGGAACACTAATTCCCGTTATTTCACAATCAATTATGATTTTATTTTGGATTACGAAGGTGGATATTGTCAACGAGTACAGTATAGGCTGTTGACCAGTACAGATCTTCGACCAATTCTATCCTGAGCACTTCTTTCCAGTTTTTCCTAAGTCCTGTTCATTTTTCAAATGTCTACTTCCAATTCCCAGTACAATATGTGTTCTGTAGTCTTTCTGTTTTATTTTTTTCTTTGAGGATTCCTAATTAAGATTTACTGCTTTGTATCAGTTTCATTTTATTCCATAAGTGAGTGACTTTGAATTGGAACTATCTACAAGCGTAAACGTTTCTTGACTACCATTGTTTGTTCGAAAAACCAAGCCAATTTACTCACTATTCACTTCCCGGTTGGCGCATGGCTTAACTCCATCTGGAGCCCTTCTGAGATAAAAGAGAAGGATTGGTCATCGGGTTACCTACCCCATTCCGTAGAAGGAGAACACAGGTGAGGGCAACCGAATTGTACTTGCCGCAAATTACAGAGTTAATTGGTAAAATAGGAAAACCATATCGTAAATCGTTAATTTGCGAAATATCAATCCATCATATCGAACTGAACTGTTCCTGTTGCAAACATCAATCCATTGTCTGATATTTCACTGTTCATGCGTTTCATACAAATCCCATTGTGTTCCCGCTCTTCCTTTCTTGATCCTCCCCCATCTTCTGCTGCCAGACATTACGTTTTTACTCGCGTCATATACTACTTATAAGTAGCGCGCACCACAACGCTAACCAGAAAAATAACAATCAATTGGATTTAATCAATCACTGAACAAGTGTTATTGATATAAAAATTCAGAGATTTAATCAAAGAAGTAAACGCCTTAATGAAAGTTATACACAACAATTCATTTCAGTTAATATCTGTTCCAAAAAATCGTTAGTCTTTTGAATTAGTGTATTATGGAGATCGTTTATTTAAACTTTAAATCAAGAATGAATTATTGTTAGGCCATCATTAGAAACTTAGAAGCGCTTGATGGCCATTTTGTTCTGTTATGGGATTCATCATCAGAAGATGTGACCTGTTGAGTTAAACCCGTCAGGTGTAAGCAGTAAGTACTGAAGCCAATAGGTGAGGTTGCGCTAAATCTTTAAATTGATCAAAGTTACACATTAACACCGTTGGATACCTCCTCAGTGGTCTAGAGGTTAAGTGTTCGCGCAAAAGACCGAAGATATTGGGTTCGAATCATTTGAGTAGCAAGAGTCGTGGATGTGCACTGCTTAACCGGCCATCTTACAGTGCTTCCAGTTTTCTAATGGTGGTCTAAAAATGATTTATTCATGCTTTCAAGGTAGACTGATAGTCATTTGTTTCCGATGAAACACTATGTATTCACTTATTTCCTAAAATTTATATTATTAATTAACGGTTATTTTAGAAAGAAAATCAAAGGTACACATGCATAAAAATTGTTTTATATATATATATATATAATATCCGTATTACCTTAAAAACTAGACATAATACTGAAGGTGACTTCACAGTTGAATTCTAGACCGGGAGCTATACCGAAATGTCCTGGCTTTGATCCCCATTAGCACTGGGATCTTAGATGCGCACTAATAAAGCGTCACATATTTACTTATTTTGTTTATGCCTCTTTTTAAACATGGAGCAAAGGCCGCTGATCAGCATTCTCCAACGTAATTTGTACTGCGCCTTCATTTCTAGTTCTATTCAACTGTTGTTCATTCTTCTCAAGTTTGTCTCCATTTCACGGCGTAATGTGTTCCTTGACCACCCTCTTTTCCTATAACCTTGGCGGTTAAAAAGTGAGGGCTTGTCTTGTGACGCAGTTGCGTGTTCTCCT